TACCTGGTTTATTTAAGCTGTCATTTTAATGGTAGAACTTAAATTTGTATCCTGTGTTGTGAATGTACATAACACGAAAATAATACAACAAACTGCAGAAAGTCTATACAAAGTTACGTGTATATATATATATATATATATATATATATATATATATATATATATATATATATATATATATATATATATATATTAGAATTTTATAGGGGTATCATAGGGGGGGTACTTATACCCCTTATGTTAGTAGTGTTTTTCCCCTCCCCCTGAAATGTCTCCCCTTGTGGTGAGGGGGAAGGGGGCTGATGCATGACTTCAAGGGTCCGGTAGGGGTAACCTTTGACCCCATCTCCTCCCCCTCTCTCTGGGTGTTGGTCTTCCAAAGGAGACATAGAGTACCCATTAGGGGTCATCAGCTCACTCGCTGGAGGGATCACAAAGTCAAGAAACTGCCCCATGGAAGTTGGTACCGTGTCCAACGAAGATGTGGGAAGATGAGTGGTGTTAGAAGACTGAAAAGCCTGAGACGTTGCGTAAAAGGCAAACTAGCAACACATATGTTGACCAGACCACACACTAGAAGGTGAAGGGACGACGGCGTTTCGTTCCGTCCTGGATCATTCTCAAGTCGACTTGAGAATGGTCCAGGACGGACCGAAACGTCGTCGTCCCTTCACTTTCTAGTGTGTGGTCTGGTTATTTTGAGGTTATCTTGAGATGATTTCGGGGCTTTAGTGTTCCCGCGGCCCGGTCCTCGACCAGGCCTCCACCCCCAGGAAGCAGCCCGTGACAGCTGACTAACACCCAGGTACCTATTTTACTACTAGGTAACAGGGGGCATAGGGTGAAAGAAACTCTGCCCATTGTTTCTCGCCGGCACCCGGGATCGAACCCAGGACCACAGAATCACAATCCCAGTGTGCTGTCCGCTCGGCCGACCGGCTCCCACATTCTTCAAACAACCGGCTGGTCAACATTCTTGAGCCGCGTTATTATGACTCGTCGCCTGCATAACAACATATATATTTGTATTTTCAGGTCTAGAGGAACTCCTGAGTCAGGAAGTCAAGAATGAAACTGAGCTAGAGGATGAGGTCCGGCGCCTGCAGGGCAGCATACAGGCGTTGTCAGAGAAGGGACCTCAGCACGCCGTCACAGAGAACACGTGAGTGGTGTAGACGAGGAGTCACAATAACGTGGCTGAAGTATGTTGACCAGACCACACACTAGAAGGTGAAGGGACGACGACGTTTCGCTCCGTCCTGGACCATTCTCAAGTCGATTGTGTCCACAAGCGAGTCGACAATCGACTTGAGAATGGTCCAGGACGGACCGAAACGTCGTCGTCCCTTCACTTTCTAGTGTGTGTGGTTTGGTCAACGTGAGTGGTCGCTCTTTCTCCTTCACCGGAGTTGCGACCCCGGCCTCTGGGGCCAGATTCACGAAAGCACTTACGCAAGCACTTACGAATGTGTCCATCTTTCCTCAATCTTTGACGGCTTTGGTTACATTTATTAAACAGTTTACAAACATGAAAACTTGCCAATCAACTGTTGTTATTATTATAAACAGCCTCCTGGTGCTTCGGAGCTCATTAACTGTTTAATAATTGTAAACAAAGCCGCCAAAGATTGAGAAAAGATGTACAGGTTCGTAAGTGCTTGCGTAACTGCTTCGTGAATCTGGCCCCTGAACCCATTTTTAATACAGAATACGGCTCGGTAATAAAGTCGGATTCATTCTCGACTTGCAACTGGGATTCTAGATTCGAATCCCGGACGGGGCAGAAATCATTTGCAGCGTTTTCTACCCCCTAATGCTTGTGCTCACCTAGCAGTAAATAGGTACCCAGGAGTCAGCTTGTTGAATGGTTGCATCCTGGGGGGGGGGACGTCGATATAAGCTTACCATGTATCTATATACACTGACTTATATACCCCGACATTCCTGGTGGGGGGGGGGGACGTAGATATAAGCTTACCATGTATCTATATACACTGACTTATATACCCCGACATTGGGAATTATTATGAATTCTATCTTTCTTTTAATAGCCTCCAGTCGAGCTTAGAATTGGTGAGGGAACAAATTGGTGACGAAGAACAGGAGAATTTAGACTTGGAAGATGAGCTGCAGGCGCTCAGCACGAGGCTCAAGGATGTTCACCAGACCCACCTGGCCCAGCTGGACGATATCAAGGTACTCTTCCATTGATGTAGCACGGGGGAGACATCTCCCGTCACGCAGGGTGCAGTCGCACCTCTACAGATCTCCAGTATCATCTCTTGATACTGGTAATGGCTCAAAAGGGCCACCACTTATGGGCTATTCATGCCTGTGCCACCTTTTGGGTGGCTTCATCTTCATCAATCATCAATCCATCTGTGATCTGGTAATGGCTCAAAAGGGCCTCCATTTACGGGCTATTCATGCCCGTGCCATCTTTTGGGTGGCTTAATCTTCATCAATCAATCATGATGCACATTCAGCACCGCTCCTGTGCCAGGTAAGTCCACTACGGGCTCACCTTAGCCCGTGCTACTTGCAACTTGTTCCTGGTAGCTGAATCTATAACAACAACAACATTGATGGAGATTAAGCCAGGCAAGAGGTGGCACGGGCATGAATAACCCGTAACCGGACAACCAATGATAAAGATTAAGCCAGCCAAGAGGTGGCACGGGCATGAATAACCCGTAATGGTTGTCCGCCTGTTATAATGTACGTGAGTACTCACCTAGTAGTGCTTGCTGGGACTAACCTGTGTGTTGTCCTCACCTGCCTGTGCTCGCGGGTGAAGATCAAAACTATATACTGCATGCAGGCGATGAGTCACAATAACGTGGCTGAAGTATGTTGACCAGACCACACACTATCGACTTGAGAATGGTCCAGGACGGACCGAAACGTGGTCTATATACTGCATGTTTTATAGTATATAATTTTATCTTAGAGCCCCTACTGTCCAGCCTCATTATTCCTGTATCAGTTTCATCAGCTCATTAAAACAGCTCTCGGATCATGTACATTATTAGATTCATTAAACATGGGTAAATACTGGTTCGGTAACAGGGTTTGTTGATTTGTGGAACCAATTACCGCGTAACGTGGTGGAGGTGGGGGTCCCTCGATTGTTTCAAGCGCGGGTTGGACATGCATATGAGTGGGATTGGGTGGTTATAGATAGGAACTGCCTCGTATGGGCCAATAGGCCTTCTGCAGTTACCTTGTTCTTATGTTCTTGAACTCAATTTAACAGTATATATTAACTTCAGCATTTCTTAATCAAGTTTAATGTCACTTCAATGTTGATATTATTAACATGGAAACATGTGAAAGTGTCAGACCACGAAGGAAGACTTGAAACAGGAATTTCCTTAAGTACTTTCGTATATTAATACATCTTCGGCAGGAATCATTCCTTCTGAAGACCAGACCACACACTAGAATGTGAAGGGACTACGACGTTTCAGTCCGTCCTGGACCATTCTCAAGTCGATTGTACTTGTACTTGTACCACAATCGACTTGAGAATGGTCCAGGACGGACCGAAACGTCGTCGTCCCTTCACTTTCTAGTGTGTGGTCTGGTCAAGATTCTTCAGTCACGTTATTGTGACTCATCGCCTGCATTCCTTCTGAAGATGTATAATATACGAAAGTACTTAAGGAAATTCCTGTTTCAATTCGTCCTCCTTGGTCTGACACTGTCACATATTTCCTCACGTGTTAATTTTCGTGATTTAAACATATGTTAACATGTATAAGGATCGATATGGCGATCGTCTGGTGGAGGGCGGAGACCTGGAGGGTGAGGACGAGCTCAGTAGTCTCCACCATCAGAAGACAAGTCTCACCGCTCAGATAACAGCTCTCAAGACGGCTCAACGCACTCAGGCGCTTGAAGGTACAGATCTTTGTGTACTTTGCACTAGTGGCTTTAGGTATTGTATGTACTACCTCTTATCTTTCAATCAAACAGAATGTTTGTACTGTAACTGTCCTGCCCGAAACTGTACTGCCTGCCCGAAACGCTTTGCGTAATAGTGGCTTTAGGCATTGTATGTACTAGCTCCTATCTATAAAGCCAACAAACTTTGTAAAATCTCTTTATGTATGTACCTTTGCCTAAATAAAAATTATTATTATTATTATTATTATTAACTCTGCAACTATGTATGTGCTGTTCCTAAATACATTATTATTATTATTACTTGTATTTGTAGGGGGAATGAGCTACGGCTCTTGGGTACCCCCTCTCTCTACAACTGATACAACTCTTCATGTATCCATGAAATTATTATGACAAAACTCCATGTTTAATTAGCACATATAAAATATAATATATATATATATATTATACTAATATATATATTATAATATATATATATATATATATTATATTAATATATATATATATAATTGCCTGGTATGATACATTCTAATATATATTATATACTAACTGAAAACTCACACCCCAGAAGTGACTCATATAGTTCAATTGCATATAGTCCTGGGGACCATTCAGGCTTGTTCGCATAATATATTCTAATATATAATTGCCTGGTATGATACTAAGTAAATATATATATTATATTAATATATAATTGCCTGGTATGACACAATGTGGCTGTGTCTTATCTCCAGTAAATTTAAGTCTGTAGAGTTTTGCTGGGTTCCCAATCATGTTGGTGTCTCTTTAAATGAGTGTGCGGATGCTGCCGCTAAGGAAGATATCCGCACTTGTCCCATCTCCCGTAAAGGTATTCCTTATTCCGAGTTTTACCCAGTTATTCATGCCTCTATCTTTGCCCGTTGGCTGGGTCGTTGGTCTTCTGTTACTGGTAACAAATTGCGTACTTTGAAGCGTAGTGTGTCCCCGTGGCCCTTCCTCCTACCACCGTAACCGGCGGTGGGAAACGGCTCTGGCAAGGTTGCGTATTGGCCATACGCGCTTAACTCATGGTCACTTAATGGAACGCCGACCTGCTCCGTATTGTCCAAATTGCATTGTCGCTCTTTCAGTCGTGCATATCCTTGTTGAATGTCCTGACTTCCTGGACGAGCGTGTGTCTTACTTTCCGACCGTCCCTCGCGCGGAGACATCTCCCGTCACGCAGGGTGCAGTCGCACCTCCACAGATCTCCAGTATCAGCTCTTGATACTGGTAATGGCTCAAAAGGGCCACCACTTACGGGCTATTCATGCCCGTGCCACCTTTTGGGTGGCTTAATCTTTATCAATCAATCAATCGTCCCTCGCGGTCACTTGTCCCTCGATAGAATTCTTGGTGACTCGGATACTTTTGATATCGTTCGCCTTATGCGTTTTTTGTTCTGGTATTGGCATCCTTGGTGATATTTATAGCGCCCTCTGGTTATCCCGCACATTTGATGGTGCTACACAGCCTTCCCGGTTTGGTGCCTTCTTTGGATAATTACTTTTTTTTGAGATATATAGAAGAGTTGTTACATTCTTGTAGAGCCACTAGTACGCGTAGCGTTTCTGGCAGGTCCCTGGAATACGATCCCCGCCGCGAAGAATCCTTGTTACATCCAAGTACACATTTTACTGTTGCGTTAAACAGAGGCTACAGTTAAAAGGATTTACTTACGATTTTATTAAGAACTTACTTATTGCTATGACACATATGTTGACCAGACCACACACTAGAAATTGAAGAGACGACGACGTTTCGGACGGACCGAAACGTCGTCGTCTCTTCAATTTCTAGTGTGTGGTTTGGTCAACATACTTCAGCCACGTTATTGTGACTCATCGCCTGCACACATATGTTCCTTCCAGAATGGAAAGCCTTCAAGGAGGTGGTAGTGAAGATGGCTGAGGTGCAGATAGATCTTCGTTCACAACAAGGCAGTATTGAGCTCCTTAACACGTCCCTCCAGTAAGTTCTTTATTGTATCGGCGTTTGTCTTTCTCTTTCGTTAAATCCCATTATATATATGTTCCATTTTGTGTTGATTAATACAATGATTGAAGAGGTCATTATATCTATTTGAGGTCGGTGTCTAATGCCTGTTTTGTAAAGGTTACTCTCGTAAGCACTCGACATCGTAAATACTCGACTTCGTAAGCACTCGACATCGTAAACACTCGACATCATAAACACTCGACATCGTAAACACTCGACCTCGTAAGCACTCGACATTTAGCTTTGGCATTAACATTTTTACCAATAATTGTTTGCCTTTCCAGACTTTGCTCAAGGGAATATGTTGTTTACGGCTTATTAACAAAATCCTTCCAATTTTGTTGACCAGACCACACACTAGAAGGTGAAAGGACGACGACGTTTCGGTCCGTTCTGGACCATTCTCAAGTCGATTGAGAATGGTCCAGGACGGACCGAAACGTCGTCGTCCCTTCACCTTCTAGTGTGTGGTCTGGTCAACATACTTCAGCCACGTTATTGTGACTCATCGCCTGCATTTGATAAGGGTTCCCATTATTTGGGCACTAAATTTGACTTCAAGCAAAAGGGTGGGAAGTTGATTTCATTCTTATGAACTTGTGTTTCAGAAAACTGAAGGAGGATGTAAGGATACGCGAAGAAGCTTCAGCTGGGGACACCACTGAGCAAGAGCGGGCCGGCAGCTCTCGGGGTCACCAGGTATGGTGTCTTTTTATTTGTTTGTATTTGTTATTAATACAGTTAGGTACAGCTGCATTTGTGCAGCTGCCCTAGACTATGTGAAGGGGAGTACAGCGTGTCACAAAAAGCTAGCTGCGTGATGCTAGAAGTCCCTCATCACACAGGATAGTTAGTCATACAGAGGCATGTGATCAGTAGTCTGCACTGGCAGACTCTGGGAGCATTTTGAGGATATCATCATCAACACAAGAGTGAATAAGATAGCAGTGATACTAAAAGTCCCCATCACACAGGATGGTTAGTCATACAGAGGCATGTGATCAGTAGTCTGCATTGACAAACTCTGGGTGCATTATGAGGATATCACCACGACCACAAGAATGAACGACCCCATTTGGTCACCACTTGGTCCGGGAGACATCCCCCGTCACGCAGGGTGCAGTTGCGCTTCCACAGATCTCCAGTATCATCTTTTGATACTGGTAACGGCTCGAAAGGGCCACCACTTACGGGCTATTCATGCCCGTGCCACCTCTTGGGTGGCTTAATCTTCATCAATCAATCAATGAACGACCACAATCGACTTGAGAATGGTCCAGGATGGAGCGAAACGTCGTCGTCCCTTCGCCTTGTAGTGTGTGGTCTGGTCAACATACTTCAGCCACGTTATTGTGACTCCTCGCCTGCACAAGAATGAATAAGGAAGCAGTGATACTAAAAGTCCCCATCTCCCAGGATGGTTTAGTGTCGTTATTTTGCTTCCAGGTGTTATAGGATGATTATTGAACAACGAACAAATCCACAAATCCAAATCCAAATCTGTTACCTAGCAGTAAATAGGTACCTGGGAGTTAGTCAGCTGTCACGGGCTGCTTCCTGGGGGTGGAGGCCTGGTCGAGGACCGGGCCGCGGGGACACTAAAAAAAAATCCCCGAAATCATCTCAAGATAACCTCAAGATAACCACAAGGGCCGTGACGAGGATTCGAACCTACGTCCGAGATGATCCCAGACGCTGAGACTTAATCGACTGAGCTACGACATGGTCAAAAAGAGTTGAAACCAGAAGTTCTACTGGACTTACTTGGATCCTGCAGCCTCTCCGAGACACAAACCAGGGTTTTACACAACTCCCCCCTGCACTCGAGCTATGTCAATAGGCCGTTCTACCTCTTCGCCCTTACTTTACTACATACACTTGGGATGCTCTCGGACGCTGGTTCGAATCCTCGTCACGGCCCTTGTGGATTTGTTCTTCAGACATTGGGTCACCACGTGCGCCACTAACGAACACACAAATCACAATAGCGTGATACATCCCGCTGTTGTGTAATGAAGCAATGAAATGGTGGAGGTGGGGTCCCTCGATTGTTTCAAGCGCGGGTTGGACATGTATATGAGTGGGATTGGGTGGTTATAGATAGGAGCTGCCTCGTATGGGCCAATAGGCCTTCTGCAGTTACCTTTGTTCTTATGTTCTTAAATCTGTGTGTGCTGGCGAGATAAAGGCTATCACTTACTGCCTTTTATTCACATTTGTATATCATTCGTGTACATTCATTATACAATGTAATACAATTGTTGTTCTTGGGCAGTAAGTGTTATTTCCTAATTGCTTATGTCTAGACTGTATACAAAAAAATGTCTATCATTCTCCGCAAATTTTGCTACTGTGATTTAGGATAGATATATTTTGAAATCTGCCTATTCTTGTACTCACCTAGTTGTGCTTGCGGGGGTTGAGCTTTGGCTCTTTGGTCCCGCCTCTCAACCGTCAATCAACAGGTGTACAGGTTCCTGAGCCTATTGGGCTCTATCATATCTACACTTGAAACTGTGTATGGAGTCAGCCTCCACCACATCACTTCCTAATGCATTCCATTTGTCAACCACGCTGACACTAAAAAAGTTCTTTCTAATGTGTGTGTGTGTGTGTGTGTGTGTGTGTGTGTGTGTGTGTGTGTGTGTGTGTGTGTGTGTGTGTGTGTGTGTGTGTGTGTGTGTGTGTGTGTGTGTGTGTGTGTGTGTGTGTGTGTGTGTGTGTGTGTGTGTGTGTGTGTGTGTGTGTGTGTGTGTGTGTGTGTGTGTGTGTGTGTGTGTGTGTGTGTGTGTGTGTGTGTGTGTGTGTGTGTGTGTGTGTGTGTGTGTGTGTGTGTGTGTGTGTGTGTGTGTGTGTGTGTGTGTGTGTGTGTGTGTGTGTGTGTGTGTGTGTGTGTGTGTGTGTGTGTGTGTGTGTGTGTGTGTGTGTGTGTGTGTGTGTGTGTGTGTGTGTGTGTGTGTGTGTGTGTGTGTGTGTGTGTGTGTGTGTGTGTGTGTGTGTGTGTGTGTGTGTGTGTGTGTGTGTGTGTGTGTGTGTGTGTGTGTGTGTGTGTGTGTGTGTGTGTGTGTGTGTGTGTGTGTGTGTGTGTGTGTGTGTGTGTGTGTGTGTGTGTGTGTGTGTGTGTGTGTGTGTGTGTGTGTGTGTGTGTGTGTGTGTGTGTGTGTGTGTGTGTGTGTGTGTGTGTGTGTGTGTGTGTGTGTGTGTGTGTGTGTGTGTGTGTGTGTGTGTGTGTGTGTGTGTGTGTGTGTGTGTGTGTGTGTGTGTGTGTGTGTGTGTGTGTGTGTGTGTGTGTGTGTGTGTGTGTGTGTGTGTGTGTGTGTGTGTGTGTGTGTGTGTGTGTGTGTGTGTGTGTGTGTGTGTGTGTGTGTGTGTGTGTGTGTGTGTGTGTGTGTGTGTGTGTGTGTGTGTGTGTGTGTGTGTGTGTGTGTGTGTGTGTGTGTGTGTGTGTGTGTGTGTGTGTGTGTGTGTGTGTGTGTGTGTGTGTGTGTGTGTGTGTGTGTGTGTGTGTGTGTGTGTGTGTGTGTGTGTGTGTGTGTGTGTGTGTGTGTGTGTGTGTGTGTGTGTGTGTGTGTGTGTGTGTGTGTGTGTGTGTGTGTGTGTGTGTGTGTGTGTGTGTGTGTGTGTGTGTGTGTGTGTGTGTGTGTGTGTGTGTGTGTGTGTGTGTGTGTGTGTGTGTGTGTGTGTGTGTGTGTGTGTGTGTGTGTGTGTGTGTGTGTGTGTGTGTGTGTGTGTGTGTGTGTGTGTGTGTGTGTGTGTGTGTGTGTGTGTGTGTGTGTGTGTGTGTGTGTGTGTGTGTGTGTGTGTGTGTGTGTGTGTGTGTGTGTGTGTGTGTGTGTGTGTGTGTGTGTGTGTGTGTGTGTGTGTGTGTGTGTGTGTGTGTGTGTGTGTGTGTGTGTGTGTGTGTGTGTGTGTGTGTGTGTGTGTGTGTGTGTGTGTGTGTGTGTGTGTGTGTGTGTGTGTGTGTGTGTGTGTGTGTGTGTGTGTGTGTGTGTGTGTGTGTGTGTGTGTGTGTGTGTGTGTGTGTGTGTGTGTGTGTGTGTGTGTGTGTGTGTGTGTGTGTGTGTGTGTGTGTGTGTGTGTGTGTGTGTGTGTGTGTGTGTGTGTGTGTGTGTGTGTGTGTGTGTGTGTGTGTGTGTGTGTGTGTGTGTGTGTGTGTGTGTGTGTGTGTGTGTGTGTGTGTGTGTGTGTGTGTGTGTGTGTGTGTGTGTGTGTGTGTGTGTGTGTGTGTGTGTGTGTGTGTGTGTGTGTGTGTGTGTGTGTGTGTGTGTGTGTGTGTGTGTGTGTGTGTGTGTGTGTGTGTGTGTGTGTGTGTGTGTGTGTGTGTGTGTGTGTGTGTGTGTGTGTGTGTGTGTGTGTGTGTGTGTGTGTGTGTGTGTGTGTGTGTGTGTGTGTGTGTGTGTGTGTGTGTGTGTGTGTGTGTGTGTGTGTGTGTGTGTGTGTGTGTGTGTGTGTGTGTGTGTGTGTGTGTGTGTGTGTGTGTGTGTGTGTGTGTGTGTGTGTGTGTGTGTGTGTGTGTGTGTGTGTGTGTGTGTGTGTGTGTGTGTGTGTGTGTGTGTGTGTGTGTGTGTGTGTGTGTGTGTGTGTGTGTGTGTGTGTGTGTGTGTGTGTGTGTGTGTGTGTGTGTGTGTGTGTGTGTGTGTGTGTGTGTGTGTGTGTGTGTGTGTGTGTGTGTGTGTGTGTGTGTGTGTGTGTGTGTGTGTGTGTGTGTGTGTGTGTGTGTGTGTGTGTGTGTGTGTGTGTGTGTGTGTGTGTGTGTGTGTGTGTGTGTGTGTGTGTGTGTGTGTGTGTGTGTGTGTGTGTGTGTGTGTGTGTGTGTGTGTGTGTGTGTGTGTGTGTGTGTGTGTGTGTGTGTGTGTGTGTGTGTGTGTGTGTGTGTGTGTGTGTGTGTGTGTGTGTGTGTGTGTGTGTGTGTGTGTGTGTGTGTGTGTGTGTGTGTGTGTGTGTGTGTGTGTGTGTGTGTGTGTGTGTGTGTGTGTGTGTGTGTGTGTGTGTGTGTGTGTGTGTGTGTGTGTGTGTGTGTGTGTGTGTGTGTGTGTGTGTGTGTGTGTGTGTGTGTGTGTGTGTGTGTGTGTGTGTGTGTGTGTGTGTGTGTGTGTGTGTGTGTGTGTGTGTGTGTGTGTGTGTGTGTGTGTGTGTGTGTGTGTGTGTGTGTGTGTGTGTGTGTGTGTGTGTGTGTGTGTGTGTGTGTGTGTGTGTGTGTGTGTGTGTGTGTGTGTGTGTGTGTGTGTGTGTGTGTGTGTGTGTGTGTGTGTGTGTGTGTGTGTGTGTGTGTGTGTGTGTGTGTGTGTGTGTGTGTGTGTGTGTGTGTGTGTGTGTGTGTGTGTGTGTGTGTGTGTGTGTGTGTGTGTGTGTGTGTGTGTGTGTGTGTGTGTGTGTGTGTGTGTGTGTGTGTGTGTGTGTGTGTGTGTGTGTGTGTGTGTGTGTGTGTGTGTGTGTGTGTGTGTGTGTGTGTGTGTGTGTGTGTGTGTGTGTGTGTGTGTGTGTGTGTGTGTGTGTGTGTGTGTGTGTGTGTGTGTGTGTGTGTGTGTGTGTGTGTGTGTGTGTGTGTGTGTGTGTGTGTGTGTGTGTGTGTGTGTGTGTGTGTGTGTGTGTGTGTGTGTGTGTGTGTGTGTGTGTGTGTGTGTGTGTGTGTGTGTGTGTGTGTGTGTGTGTGTGTGTGTGTGTGTGTGTGTGTGTGTGTGTGTGTGTGTGTGTGTGTGTGTGTGTGTGTGTGTGTGTGTGTGTGTGTGTGTGTGTGTGTGTGTGTGTGTGTGTGTGTGTGTGTGTGTGTGTGTGTGTGTGTGTGTGTGTGTGTCTGCATATTTCCAATGAGAAAACGGACGTATGTGCATCTTTTCGTTCACATAACGCCACGAAAAAAATATGGATACAATTAACATGTATTTATATTAAATATAAACAAATTGCCACCAAAGATTTAGAAGTGAGTAGTTTTTCGAGATTTATAATTATACTATAAATCTTTTTGACGACTCTTCCCCCCCCCCCAATTGTCATCTCCTAATCATGATCTTGTTATACTGTGATTGGTATACCGTATATGCCACTATATACTGTAGTATATATACGGCTTTTATAGTCCAGTATATCCTGGTGAAGGCACTTGCCTTGCTCCTTCGAGTATGCTCCCCATGTTCTTGAAGTTATCAAGATGAGCATCAAGGATATGGACTTCGAGGGACATCCTCCGTGTATGCTCGCCATGTTCTCCTTAAAGTTATCAAGATGAGCTTCAAGGATATGGACTTCGAGGGACATCCTCCGTGTATGCTCGCCATGTTCTCCTTAAAGTTATCAAGATGAGCTTCAATGATATGGACTTCGAGGGACATCCTCCGTGTATGCTCGCCATGTTATCATTAAAGTTATCAAGATGAGCTTCAAGGATATGGACTTCGAGGGACATCCTCCGTGTATGCTCGCCATGTTCTCCTTAAAGTTATCAAGATGAGCTTCAAGGATATGGACTTCGAGGGACAAACTCCGTGTATGCTCGCCATGTTCTCCTTAAAGTTATCAAGATGAGCTTCAAGGATATGGACTTCGAGGGACATCCTCCGTGTATGCTCGCCATGTTCTCCTTAAAGTTATCAAGATGAGCTTCAATGATATGGACTTCGAGGGACATCCTCCGTGTATGCTCGCCATGTTATCATTAAAGTTATCAAGATGAGCTTCAAGGATATGGACTTCGAGGGACATCCTCCGTGTATGCTCGCCATGTTCTCCTTAAAGTTATCAAGATGAGCTTCAAGGATATGGACTTCGAGGGACAAACTCCGTGTATGCTCGCCATGTTCTCCTTAAAGTTATCAAGATGAGCTTCAAGGATATGGACTTCGAGGGACATCCTCCGTGTATGCTCGCCATGTTCTCCTTAAAGTTATCAAGATGAGCTTCAAGGATATGGACTTCGAGGGACATCCTCCGTCTATGCTTTCCATGTCCTCCTTCAAGTTATCAAGATGAGCTTCAAGGATATGGACTTCGAGGGACATCCTCCGTCTATGCTCTCCATGTCCTCCTTAAAGTTATCAAGATGAGCTTCAAGGATATGGACTTCGAGGGACATCCTCCGTCTATGCTCTCCATGTCCTCCTTAAAGTTATCAAGACGAGCATCAAGGATATGGACTTCGAGGGACATCCTCCGTCTATGCTCTCCATGTTCTCCTTAAAGTTATCAAGATGAGCTTCAAGGATATGGACTTCGAGGGACATCCTCCGTCTATGCTCTCCATGTTCTCCTTAAAGTTATCAAGACGAGCATCAAGGATATGGACTTCGAGGGACATCCTCCGTCTATGCTCTCCATGTCCTCCTTAAAGTTATCAAGATGAGCTTCAAGGATATGGACTTCGAGGGACATCCTCCGTCTATGCTCTCCATGTCCTCCTTAAAGTTATCAAGACGAGCATCAAGGATATGGACTTCGAGGGACATCCTCCGTCTATGCTCTCCATGTTCTCCTTAAAGTTATCAAGATGAGCTTCAAGGATATGGACTTCGAGGGACATCCTCCGTCTATGCTCTCCATGTTCTCCTTAAAGTTATCAAGACGAGCATCAAGGATATGGACTTCGAGGGACATCCTCCGTCTATGCTCTCCATGTTCTCCTTAAAGTTATCAAGATGAGCTTCAAGGATATGGACTTCGAGGGACATCCTCCGTCTATGCTCTCCATGTCCTCCTTAAAGTTATCAAGACGAGCATCAAGGATATGGACTTCGAGGGACATCCTCCGTCTATGCTCTCCATGTCCTCCTTAAAGTTATCAAGACGAGCATCAAGGATATGGACTTCGAGGGACATCCTCCGTCTATGCTCTCCATGTCCTCCTTAAAGTTATCAAGATGAGCTTCAAGGATATGGACTTCGAGGGACATCCTCCGTCTATGCTCGCCATGTTCTCCTTAAAGTTATCAAGATGAGCTTCAAGGATATGGACTTCGAGGGACATCCTCCGTCTATGCTCTCCATGTTCTCCTTAAAGTTATCAAGACGAGCATCAAGGATATGGACTTCGAGGGACATCCTCCGTCTATGCTCTCCATGTCCTCCTTAAAGTTATCAAGATGAGCTTCAAGGATATGGACTTCGAGGGACATCCTCCGTCTATGCTCTCCATGTTCTCCTTAAAGTTATCAAGACGAGCATCAAGGATATGGACTTCGAGGGACATCCTCCGTCTATGCTCTCCATGTCCTCCTTAAAGTTATCAAGACGAGCATCAAGGATATGGACTTCGAGGGACATCCTCCGTCTATGCTCTCCATGTCCTCCTTAAAGTTATCAAGACGAGCATCAAGGATATGGACTTCGAGGGACATCCTCCGTCTATGCTCTCCATGTCCTCCTTAAAGTTATCAAGATGAGCTTCAAGGATATGGACTTCGAGGGACATCCTCCGTCTATGCTCGCCATGTCCTCCTTAAAGTTATCAAGATGAGCTTCAAGGATATGGACTTCGAGGGACATCCTCCGTCTATGCTCTCCATGTTCTCCTTAAAGTTATCAAGACGAGCATCAAGGATATGGACTTCGAGGGACATCCTCCGTCTATGCTCTCCATGTTCTCCTTAAAGTTATCAAGATGAGCTTCAAGGATATGGACTTCGAGGGACATCCTCCGTGTATGCTCGCCATGTTCTCCTTAAAGTTATCAAGATGAGCTTCAAGGATATGGACTTCGAGGGACATCCTCCGTGTATGCTCGCCATGTTCTCCTTAAAGTTATCAAGATGAGCTTCAAGGATATGGACTTCGAGGGACATCCTCCGTCTATGCTCGCCATGTTCTCCTTAAAGTTATCAAGATGAGCTTCAAGGATATGGACTTCGAGGGACATCCTCCGTCTATGCTCGCCATGTTCTCCTTAAAGTTATCAAGATGAGCTTCAAGGATATGGACTTCGAGGGACATCCTCCGTGTATGCTCGCCATGTTCTCCTTAAAGTTATCAAGATGAGCTTCAAGGATATGGACTTCGAGGGACATCCTCCGTGTATGCTCGCCATGTTCTCCTTAAAGTTATCAAGATGAGCTTCAAGGATATGGACTTCGAGGGACATCCTCCGTCTATGCTCGCCATGTTCTCCTTAAAGTTATCAAGATGAGCTTCAAGGATATGGACTTCGAGGGACATCCTCCGTCTATGCTCGCCATGTCCTCCTTAAAGTTATCAAGATGAGCTTCAATGATATGGACTTCGAGGGACATCCTCCGTCTATGCTCTCCATGTCCTCCTTAAAGTTATCAAGATGAGCTTCAAGGATATGGACTTCAAGGGACATCCTCCGTGTATGCTCGCCATGTTCTCCTTAAAGTTATCAAGATGAGCTTCAAGGATATGGACTTCGAGGGACATCCTCCGTCTATGCTCTCCATGTCCTCCTTAAAGTTATCAAGATGAGCTTCAAGGATATGGACTTCAAGGGACATCCTCCGTGTATGCTCGCCATGTTCTCCTTAAAGTTATCAAGATGAGCTTCAAGGATATGGACTTCGAGGGACATCCTCCGTCTATGCTCTCCATGTCCTCCTTAAAGTTATCAAGATGAGCATCAAGGATATGGACTTCGAGGGACATCCTCCGTGTATGCTCGCCATGTTCTCCTTAAAGTTATCAAGATGAGCTTCAAGGATATGGACTTCAAGGGACATCCTCCGTCTATGCTCTCCATGTTCTCCTTAAAGTTATCAAGACGAGCATCAAGGATATATGGACTCCTGCAGCCCCATTATTCCGTAGTTCTTCACCAGAGTCTCAACCAGCACCCACATAGGTTTGGCTCTGGAATTGCCCAGGAAGCCTCAAATCACTGTGATAAAGCTGTTCTAAGACACTTTTTTTCTTCCTAGTGAGCTTCTTGGGGGAATTCTTTCCTCTCTAAGCACATTTGTATCCACGTCAGTTGCTGGACCTAAACTGAGCTGTTGACCAGACCACACACTAGAAGTTGAAGGAACGACGGACGTTTCGGTCCGTCCTGGACCATTCTCAAGTCGATTGTGTGTGGTCTGGTCAACATACTTCAGCCACGTTATTGTGACTCCTCGCCTGAGCTGGTGGGCTTAAGGCCTCAATATTTATCCTATTATTTATGCACAGAGAAATCACGTTAACATCATGTAGCAATGAGAAAATCAGTAAGGACCTGCCCGAAACGCTATTAAGGCTGATGAATTTCGGACCTGCATTCGGACTTTGCCGATTTCGGACCTGCCCGAAGAGCTATGCGTGTTCAGGCGATGAGTCACAATAACGTGGCTAAAGTAAGTTGACCAGACCACACACTAGAAGGTGAAGGGACGACGACGTTTCGGTCCGTCCTGGACCATTCTCAAGTCGATTGTGAGAATGGACATCGACTTGAGAATGGTCCAGGACGGATCGAAACGTCGTCGTCCCTTCACCTTCTAGTGTGTGTAGTCTGGTCAACATAGGATATAACATTTACATACTCAGGATGTTACAAGGTCATCTTTTCTCTTTCAGTGTTTACCTGATGGCTTATCATTTGCATAATCTTATCATCTATGCCAACATTATAGTAGCATTATCTTTACAGGAGCAACTGGTGGACAAGGAGAGTGTGGATAGTCATCTGGACCTTCAACACAACTTCACAGAGGTTAGAAGAGAAATTTATAGTCAAGAGATGCGTCAGTTTTGTGCGATGTTTCCGTCAGAGGGACAGAGGCAGGATACACAACGGTACCACGCTCCTGTCACAACAGAGGGACAGAGGCAGGATACACAACGGTACCACGCTCCTGTCACAACAGAGGGACAGAGGCAGGATACACAACGGTACCACGCTCCTGTCTCAACAGAGGGACAGAGGCAGGATACACAGCGGTACCACGCTCCTGTCTCAACAGAGGGACAGAGACAGGATACACAACGGTACCACGCTCCTGTCTCAACAGAGGGACAGAGGCAGGATACACAACGGTACCACGCTCCTGTCTCAACAGAGGGACAGAGACAGGACACGCAACGGTACCATGCTCCTGTCTCAACAGAGGGACAGAGACAGGACACGCAACGGTACCACGCTCCTGTCTCAACAGAGGGACAGAGACAGGACACGCAACGGTACCATGCTCCTGTCTCAACAGAGGGACAGAGACAGGACACGCAACGGTACCACGCTCCTGTCTCAACAGAGGGACAGAGACAGGACACGCAACGGTACCATGCTCCTGTCTCAACAGAGGGACAGAGACAGGACACGCAACGGTACCACGCTCCTGTCTCAACAGAGGGACAGAGACAGGACACGCAACGGTACCACGCTCCTGTCTCAACAGAGGGACAGAGACAGGACACGCAACGGTACCACGCTCCTGTCTCAACAGAGGGACAGAGACAGGATACGCAACGGTACGACGCTTCCGTCAGAACAGAGGGACAGAGGCAAGATACAGGACAGCGTTTACAAGCGTGCCAGCAGGGACAGAGGAAAGATACACCACGAACTAAGACCGTGTTTAGCAGTAAACTATCCCTCATCAAACTTCAGGTATGACCTCAGACAAGAATAGTTTATAACGATAATTAAATCAGGTAGTTGATCAAGGATAGTGCGAGGGGGGGGGGGGGTGCTTGACAGCTGAGTGGCCAGCGCTTGGGATTCGTAGTCCTAAGATTCCGGGTGGAGGCGGAAGCAAATGGACAGTCGAGGTGCCCAACCATTTCTGTCTCGGCCGGGATTGGAAACCGGGAATTCTCGATTGGGTATCACTAGACAATTTGTAAAGTTTGCTGGCCGGGTACACATTCTTTATGCAGTGTTATAAATGAACTTTAGTCCAAAGTAATTCAAGTTTTTTTTTACTTTGCCCAGGTTCCAAAATATGAAGAGAGGAAGAGACGGTACAGGACTTCAGGAGAGATGGAACATACGGATGGTAGGGGAATACAGTTGACTGCTACCGTGCCTGTAACTGGTGAAGGTTCAGACACTGAAGTAAAGCGACCCACCAGTCTACCAGTTTCTCTCCCCAGTTACACTGTTCCTTCCAGTGTCTCTTTTTCCAGTTACACTGCTCCTTCCAGTGTCTCTCTCCCCAGCTACACTGTTCCTTCCAGTGTCTCTATTTCCAGCTACACTGTTCCTTCCAGTGTCTCTATTTCCAGCTACACTGTTCCTTCTAGTGTCTCTCTCCCCAGCTACACTGCTCCTTCTAGTGTCTCTCTCCCCAGCTACACTGCTCCTTCTAGTGTCTCTCTCCCCAGCTACACTGCTCCTTCTAGTGTCTCTCTCCCCAGCTACACTGTTCCTTCTAGTGTCTCTCTCCCCAGCTACACTGTTCCTTCTAGTGTCTCTCTCCCCAGCTACACTGTTCCTTCCAGTGTCTCTATTTCCAGCTACACTGTTCCTTCTAGTGTCTCTCTCCCCAGCTACACTGTTCCTTCCAGTGTCTCTATTTCCAGCTACACTGTTCCTTCTAGTGTCTCTCTCCCCAGCTACACTGTTCCTTCCAGTGTCTCTATTTCCAGCTACACTGTTCCTTCTAGTGTCTCTCTCCCCAGCTACACTGTTCCTTCTAGTGTCTCTCTCCCCAGCAACACCGCTCCTTCCAGTGCCTCTCCGTGCTCCCTAAAAAGTAACAGTAATCATAGCCTGAGTGCCACTCAGGCGCTTCGTGGTGAACCCGGTTCCACTTCGGAGACGAGACGGGAAGACAGGAGAACAGCGAGTACCACCAACCAGGAGCAGCGTACTGACACGGCTTGGACTGTTCAAAGTTATGCAAGAGCTGGAGACTCCGGCAATGTTGCAACTTCAGCATTTGAGAAAGGTAGGTTCTCTCACGGGAGACATCTCCCGTCACGCAGGGTGCAGTCGCACCTCCACAGATCTCCAGTATCATCTATTGATACTGGAAATGGCTCAAAAGGGCCACCACTTACGGGCTATTCATGCCCAAGCCACCTTTTGGCTGGCTTAATCTTATCTCTCTCTCTCGTAGGTTCTCCGCTTTCCAGAATGGAATAAAACAGCGTAATAGGATGCTGAGACATCCAAGGAACTTGGATGTGGTTTCAATTTCTTATGTCATACAGAGTTTAGATGCAAAACTATACTTGCCAATGAGAACTTATCCTTGGAGGGTTTCTTATTCTTACTGGCCTAGTCAACTTATAGGATGTGTTGACCCTCGTAGAGCTGGTATGCGCATGTTGCAAGGTATTAATTATGCAATTTCACTTAGGTTTGCAAGCAAGATTGATAAAGATTAAGCCACCCAAAAGGTGGCACGGGCATGAATAGCCCGTAAGTGGTGGCCCTTTTGAGCCATTACCAGTATCAAGAGCTGATACTGGAGATCTGTGGAGGTGCGACTGCACCCTGCGTGACGGGAGATGTCTCCCGTGTTTACAAGCACTTGCATGCGCTCCAGTAAGTGGTGGACGATGCCAAAGTAATTATCACAACACGTTGTATTATCAATGGTGTAATGAAGGATTTTGCTAATGGTTTATTATTTAATATCTGTAACGTATATTTGCTGGTCTGCCCTGGCAAGTGTAAAGTTGGGTAATGCTTATGATGTAATATATATCTATTTCTTTTGTCTCTGATGCTCTGAGGGAGCCGGTCGGCCAAGCGGACAGCACGCTGGACTCATAATCCTGTGGTCCCGGGTTCGATCCCAGGCGCTGGCGAGAAACAATGGGCAGAGTTTCTTTCACCCTATGCCCCTGTTACCTAGCAGTAAAATAGGTACCTGGGTGTTAGTCAGCTGTCACGGGCTGCTTCCTGGGGGTGTAGGCCTGGTCGAGGACCGGGCCGCGGGGACACTAAAGCCCCAAAATCATCTCAAGATAACCTCAAGATGCTTTTGCATGATTGGCTGTCGAGGGTGGTTTCTATGTAACGACTCCAGCAACATCAAACGTAAGTTCAGAGTAGCACGGGCTATGGTGAGCCCGTAGTGGACTTACCTGGCACAGGAGCGGGGGTGTAACTTGTTATTGGCAAGCAAGATGTGTATAGCTCGGTGTGACTTTCCCTGTAGGTGAGGCGAGTACAGAGAAGGTTTCTACAGAGACCGTCACTCTACCTGACGAAGCAGCACGTCGAGCCTATGTCGCCACCTTGGCGCCCAGTCCTGAAATCCAGTACCACCGTCAGTCGCCTCGGACCAGTGTATGTTTATTTATTTGTATTTATTTATATATATATGCGGGAAAACCACATGTGAAAAATAGAAAAATACAAATCCTTCATTCTACTTTGCTCTGATGAAGGCGATTTAAGCCGAAAACGCGTTTAGCATTCTCTGTTTTTCACATGTAGTTTTTTCAGCATACTTGGATCAGTGTTTTGTGATATTATATATATATATATATATATATATATATATATATATATATATATATATATATATATATATATATATATATATATAACTGAAAACTCACACCCCAGAAGTGACTCGAACCCATACTCCCAGGAGCAACGCAACTGGTATGTACAAGACGCCTTAATCCACTTGACCATCACGACCGGACATAATGAGGTGATAGCCGAGGCTATTTGAACCACCCCACCGCCGGCACTCGGATAGTAATCTTGGGCATAGCATTTTACCAAATCACCTCATTCTTTGGGGCACACGTGAGGAACACAAATGCGAACAAGCCTGAATGGTCCCCAGGACAATATGCAACTGAAAACTCACACCCCAGAAGTGACTCGAACCCATACTCCCAGGAGCAACGCAACTGGTATGTACAAGACGCCTTAATCCACTTGACCATCACGGCCGGACGTATGTCCGGATGACCGGACATACAAGACAACGCAACTGGTCTTGTACATACCAGTTGCGTTGCTCCTGGGAGTATGGGTTCGAGTCACTTCTGGGGTGTGAGTTTTCAGTTGCATATTGTCCTGGGGACCATTCAGGCTTGTTCGCATTTGTGTTCCTCACGTGTGCCCCAAAGAATGAGGTGATTTGGTAAAATGCTATGCCCAAGATTACTATCCGAGTGCCGGCGGTGGGGTGGTTCAAATAGCCTCGGCTATCACCTCATTATGTCCGGTCGTGATGGTCAAGTGGATTAAGGCGTCTTGTACATACCAGTTGCGTTGCTCCTGGGAGTATGGGTTCGAGTCACTTCTGGGGTGTGAGTTTTCAGTTGCATATTGTCCTGGGGACCATTCAGGCTTGTTCGCATTTGTGTTCCTCACGTGTGCCCCAAAGAATGAGGTGATTTGGTAAAATGCTATGCCCAAGATTACTATCCGAGTGCCGGCGGTGGGGTGGTTCAAATAGCCTCGGCTATCACCTCATTATGTCCGGTCGTGATGGTCAAGTGGATTAAGGCGTCTTGTACATACCAGTTGCGTTGCTCCTGGGAGTATGGGTTCGAGTCACTTCTGGGGTGTGAGTTTTCAGTTGCATATTGTCCTGGGGACCATTCAGGCTTGTTCGCATTTGTGTTCCTCACGTGTGCCCCAAAGAATGAGGTGATTTGGTAAAATGCTATGCCCAAGATTACTATCCGAGTGCCGGCGGTGGGGTGGTTCAAATAGCCTCGGCTATCACCTCATTATGTCCGGTCGTGATGGTCAAGTGGATTAAGGCGTCTTGTACATACCAGTTGCGTTGCTCCTGGGAGTATGGGTTCGAGTCACTTCTGGGGTGTGAGTTTTCAGTTGCATATTGTCCTGGGGACCATTCAGGCTTGTTCGCATTTGTGTTCCTCACGTGTGCCCCAAAGAATGAGGTGATTTGGTAAAATGCTATGCCCAAGATTACTATCCGAGTGCCGGCGGTGGGGTGGTTCAAATAGCCTCGGCTATCACCTCATTATGTCCGGTCGTGATGGTCAAGTGGATTAAGGCGTCTTGTACATACCAGTTGCGTTGCTCCTGGGAGTATGGGTTCGAGTCACTTCTGGGGTGTGAGTTTTCAGTTGCATATTGTCTTGGGGACCATTCAGGCTTGTTCGCATATATATATATATATATATATATATATATATATATATATATAAATATATATATATATATATATTCTAAACACACTAAAACACACCTGAGAAACTATATGTAGGTTTTATTTGAGTTCATCTTTATTATGCGCCTTATACCGATCCTGTTACTGGTAATGGAAAGGGTGATGATTTACAGTGAAAAAAGTAATGTAGAGATGATTTACGGTGAAGGGTAGGAAATTATCAGGGGAAAAGCGCCAAGCCACCACGACTATATAGCACTGGGAAGGGGTCAGGATAAGGCTTTGGGATGGGACGGGGGAAAAGGAATTGTGCCCCAACCACTTGTGGACGGTCTCGGGGGATTGAACACCGACCTGCATGACGCGAGACCGTCGCTCTACCGTCCAGCCCAAGTGGTTAGTGATTAACGGTGAACAGTAAAGTATAAATGATGGAAAGTGAAGAAAGTGTCACTATTGGTTGAGAAAAGTGTACCTGGTCCACCACAGTACAATTTCCCAGTTGCCGAAAATTCAACACTTTATAAAATGATGTCGGAAAATATGTTAATACTTAAAAAACCTACAGTTTTCTCAACACTAAAACCTCTACATATTGCTAAAAAAAATTAATCTAGACAGATTTTAATTTATAAGAAATTTATAAGTGAATAAGTCTTTTATTAGCTGTGGGTTTTCAAGATTTCTGAATTCTTACAGATGACGTATTCAATCCCTGTGTTGGAAAGCCAGAAGACATCAGAGCAGCGCGGGGGAGATGCAGAGGCTGCTTGTCAGGACCAAACCCCAGGTATGTGAACCATTGATTGATTGATTGATGAAGATTAAGCCACCCCAAGAGGTGGCACGGGCATGAATAGCCCGTAAGTGGTGGCCCCTTTTGAGCCATTACCAGTATCGATAGATGATACTGGAGATCTGTGGAGGTGCGACTGCACCCTGCGTGACGGGAGATGTCTCCCGTAATGTGTCCAATTGATTGATTGATGAAGATTAAGCCACCCAAGAGGTGGCACGGGCATGAATAGCCCGTAAGTGGTGGCCCCTTTTGAGCCATTACCAGTATCGATAGATGATACTGGAGATCTGTGGAGGTGCGACTGCACCCTGCTTGACGGGAGATGTCTCCCGTCCGCCAGCCAAGAGGTGGCACGGGCATGAATAGCCCCGTAATGAACTACCGCTCAAGTGTCATTATTTAATGACGTCTGGGTAATAATGAATGCTCACAGGGTCACCACAAGCACAGCTGTCGTTATTAGCTAACTACACTTAGGTAGTTACAGACACATACCATTTATGAACGACTTAGAGAGAGTGTGTGTGTGTGTATTAAATATTAATATTATTTGTGTATGCAGAATCAAGCTATTAGCTCTTTGACCCCGAATTTCCAATCATTTTATTTTTTTCTATTATATCTACTAATTTATTTATCTCTTAACACATGCACACATACATACATCCCCAGAATGCAGCCTGTACCAGCTGTCTAACTCCCAGGTACCTATTTACTGGTAGGTGAACAGAGGCATCAGGGTGAAAAAAACTGCCCATTTGCTTCCGCCGGAAATCCAACCCGGGCCATTAGAACTACGACCCCCAAGCGCTGTCCACTCAGCTGTGAGGCCCTCCTCTATGTGTGTGTGTGTGTGTGTGTGTGTGTGTGTGTGTGTGTGTGTGTGTGTGTACTTACCTAATTTACCTAATTGTGCTTGCGGGGGTTGAGCTCTGGCTCTTTGGTCCCGCCTCTCAACCGTCAATCAACTGGTGTACAGATTCCTGAGCCTATTGGGCTCTATCATATCTACATTTGAAACTGTGAATGGAGTCAGCCTCCACCACATCACTTCCTAATGCATTCCATTTGCTAACTACTCTGACACTGAAAAAGTTCTTTCTAACGTCTCTGTGGCTCATTTGGGTACTCAGCTTCCACCTGTGTCCCCTTGTTCGCGTCCCACCAGTGTTGAAAAGTTCGTCCTTGTTTACCCGGTCGATTCCCCTGAGGATTTTGTAGGTTGTGATCATGTCCCCCCTTACTCTTCTGTCTTCCAGTGTCGTGAGGTGCATTTCCCGCAGCCTTTCCTCATAACTCATGCCTCTTAGTTCTGGGACTAGTCTAGTAGCATACCTTTGGACTTTTTCCAGCTTCGTCTTGTGCTTGACAAGGTACGGGCTCCACGCTGGGGCCGCATACTCCAGGATTGGTCTTACATATGTGGTGTACAAGATTCTGAATGATTCCTTACACAGGTTCCTGAACGCCGTTCTGATGTTAGCCAGCCTCGCATATGCCGCAGACGTTATTCTCTTTATGTGGGCTTCAGGAGACAGGTTTGGTGTGATATCAACTCCTAGATCTTTCTCTCTGTCTGTTTCATTAAGTACTTCATCTCCTATTCTGTATCCTGTGCCTGGCCTCCTGTTTCCACTGCCTAGTTTCATTACTTTGCATTTACTCGGGTTGAACTTCAACAGCCATTTGTTGGACCATTCACTCAGTCTATCCAGGTCATCTTGTAGCCTCCTACTATCATCCTCTGTTTCAATCCTCCTCATAATTTTTGCATCGTCGGCAAACATTGAGAGGAACGAATCTATACCCTCTGGGAGATCATTTACATATACCAGAAACAGTATAGGTCCAAGGACTGACCCCTGCGGGACTCCACTTGTGACGTCTCGCCAATCTGAGACCTCACCCCTCACACAGACTCGTTGTCTCCTGTTGCTTAGGTATTCCTCTATCCACCGGAGTACCTTCCCTCTCACTCCAGCCTGCATCTCCAACTTTCGCACTAGCCTCTTGTGTGGCACTGTATCAAAGGCTTTCTGACAATCCAAAAATATGCAGTCTGCCCACCCTTCTCTTTCTTGCCTTATTTTTGTTGCCTGGTCGTAGAATTCAAGTAACCCTGTGAGGCAGGACCTGCCATCACTGAACCCATGTTGATGCTGTGTTACAAAGTTCCTTCGCTCCAGATGCTCCACTAGTTTTTTTCGCACAATCTTCTCCATCAGCTTGCATGGTATGCAGGTTAGGGACACTGGCCTGTAGTTCAGTGCCTCCTGTCTATCCCCTTTCTTGTATATCGGGACTACGTTAGCTGCTTTCCAAGTATCTGGCAGTTCCCCTGTTGCCAGTGATTTGTTATACACTATGGAGAGTGGTAGGCTCAGTTCTCTTGCTCCTTCCTTTAGAACCCAAGGGGAGATTCCATCTGGGCCTATAGCCTTCGTCACGTCCAACTCTAGTAAACACTTCCTTACTTCCCCACTGGTAATCTCAAACTCTTCCAGTGGTTCCTGGTTAGCTATTCCCTCACTTACCTCTGGAATTTCTCCTTGTTCTAAGGTGAAGACCTCCTGGAATTTCTTATTCAATTCCTCACACACTTCCTTGTCATTTGTAGTGAATCCTTCCGCCCCTATCCTTAATCTCATAACCTGTTCCTTTACTGTTGTTTTTCTCCTAATGTGGCTATGCAACAATTTAGGCACACAATTTAGGCACACAATTGTGTGTGTGTGTGTGTGTGTGTGTGTGTGTGTGTGTGTGTGTGTGTGTGTGTGTAAGTAAGGAGGAGATAATAGTACGTGACAGTAATAAGAGCATAAGAATAAATAAAACTGCTGAAGGCCTCAGGAAGCAGCCCCCCTATTTATATCCACCCAAAGTCATTCAAGTAGTTAGTAAAACAGTTGATTGACAGTTGAGAGGCGGGCCGAAAGAGCAAAGCTCAACCCCCGCAAACACAACTAGGTAAATATAGTAGTAGTCTGACCTACTCTTGAAACAACCCCCAGTAAATAATAATGCCGAGGAAGCAGGTGTGATCATGCAGAACTTGATATTTTGCACAGGTAGTGCAAGAAGTGGCGCAGCTGCCAGTGTGGGCGGTGGAGCAGCAGCAGCAACAGCAGTAGTCAGTGGTGAGAGTGAAGCACCAGCTGGACCAGGACGAACAGCAGCTGCAGCAGCACTGAGTGGTAGCAGCAGCAGTAGTGGTAGTGGTGGGTGTGTGGCAGCAGCTGGACCAGGACGAACAGCAGCTGCAGCAGCACTGAGTGGTAGCAGCAGCAGTAGTGGTAGTGGTGGGTGTGTGGCAGCAGCTGGACCAGGACGAACAGCAGCTGCAGCAGCACTGAGTGGTAGCAGCAGCAGTAGTGGTAGTGGTGGGTGTGTGGCAGAAACCTCCAGTACCGTCACCTCTGTATCTTACCACAACAACACTGCTCTATACCCCGATGACACGGTCAGTGGATTCACTTCCAGGATAAGGTGTTGTTTATGGAATATATTTACGTGCTCTGTAAACTGTATCTCTCTCTCTCTGGAGTTTGTGTCACTTTTTACCTTCGGAAAGCAGTATTTTAATGACATAATTTCACCTTTTAAAAGGAAAATGCTGCTGTGAAAATCTTCATTCTTGTTATATGTTAATTAATACCTGAAAAAATCTTTTTACATAAATTGTACAATACATATATTATTGATTGCAGGCGAGGAGTCACAATAACGTGGCTGAAATATGTTGACCAGACCACACACTAGAAAGTGAAGGGACGACGACGTTTCGGTCCGTCCTAGACCATTCTCAAGTCGATTGTGAAATTACTCTCTTCTTTCTTGTTCTTACAGATGGAAGACCATTTAAGTTCCTCCCAGGGATTCAACCTCACAGAAGACTCGGACATGGACACCCACATCCCATCCTCCTCCAAAATGGCGAGTATACATGCCAATGTGTACCAGACCACACACTAGAAGGTGAAGGGACGACGACGTTTCGGTCCGTCCTGGGCCATTCTCAAGTGATCGACTGGAGATAAAGGTTCAGGACGGACCGGAACGTCGTCGTCCCTTCACTTTCTAGTGTGTGGTCTGGTCAACATACTCCAGCCACGTTATTGTGACTCCTCGCATACATGCCAATATTTTGCTTACATGTTGTTATTTTCTTTGTAGGTTATTTATTTTTAAAAAGGATATTTTGAAATTGAAATTGAAATAAGTTTATTGAGGTAAAATCCACACAAAGGGATGAGGCAGCTCAAGCTATTCTCACCCCGTTCAGTACATCGTGTTAATACATACATACACACACATCACAAACAATAAACATATTAGCAAACATTCTGAGAGATAAACATATACATTTCCTATTTTGATATTGTAAATTAAAAAAAAAGTGATTTTCCTAATTGTTCCAATTATCCCGCCAGTTATTACAGACTTTAATGTTGTTTGAAATTCATTTACTACTAAAGTGATATACTTCATTTATTTAATCTCATAACATCTAAGTCAACAAGCACGACTTAAAAATTTGCCCTCTTGTGAGAGGCAAAAGAATCTTTTCCTGTACTGTTACAACTTTCTTTGACTTTTCTTTATACCATTCTTAATATACACTGTTAATTTTATGATTCGTATGCTGTTTGTGAGTGAAACACAAAGTTGTCTCTGGGAAGTGCGTAGTTGAATGGAGATTTTAAATCCATTAAATGCATACAAGTTTGGCCTGTAATATCATATTGACCACGATGGGCTGAAGAGGGACATTTATGCATTAGCTGATGGATGAATTTTTTGATTAGGCTTAAGATTATGGTTACATCTTCAGCAGGAGAGAAGTGACACACAAGCAGGCGATGAGTCACAATAACGTGGGTGAAGTATGTTGACCAGACCACACACTAGAAGGTGAAGGGACGACGACGACGTTTCGGTCCTTCCTGAACCATTCTCAAGTCGATTGTGAAACGTCGTCGTCGTCCCTTCACCTTCTAGTGTGTGGTCTTGTCATTAAGTGAAACACAATCTTGAAACTGTATTTATATTTTCTTTACAGGATACTTCCCCATATCATCTGTCATCGTCAGGACTGCAAACCTCTTCACTGGTTGTTGAGCCGCCGGCTAGCAGGAATGTGTCGGCTGGATCTTCTCCCCAGTCGCGTAGCTTTCCTGCAGGGGGATCACTCTATCTATCCGTGACCTCCTCACACACACTGCCAGCGTCTGCGGCCGAGAAGTCATTAAGTAATGTCGTATCATCACCCCAGAGCAGTCTTCTGCCCGGGAAGCCTTTGCTCTTCAGCTCCCCCCATGGTTCAAGTGATGGCACGCAGCGAGGCACCAACTCCCCGGCTACCAACCTCCACACATCCCCGGCGTCTGACTCTTTGTATACAATGAGCCCAATACTGAGGCCAGGCGCTTCGGGTGGTCACACGCAAGACTCCTCACCCAGTAGCTGCTTGTCTACAGCTTCCAGTTATGCTCTCATGTTTGGCAAGGACCTGGAGCATGAGGGCAGGACTCCCGGAGCATTTAGTCTCTTTGGCTCACCTGCGACACGTATGTGCTCGGGGACACTGTTGTCCCGCGTTTGTCTCATTAATTTTTAATTTTAATTTTCTTCAATTAATTTTTGTAATTTTGCTACTTTTTTTTACCCGTTGTAATGGTTTGATTGTTGCCGCCGAAGGCAGCTAGTTTATTGTGCTCCCCATACTCATCCTGTGAGCGGTAGCGCAAAAGCTTTACAGAGGGCACAAAAGGTCTTTATCAGACCTCATCTTAGATTATTACATAAACAATTTCTTCTATCCTTCACACTTGGTGCTTTATCCTGGTAGTTTCCTGTCCCTACCCTCCCTCGAGGTTGGAGGCCAGATTCTTGGGGCTAGTCTCGTCCCATTTTTAACGGTAATTGCTGTTGGGTATGTGCCCAACATGGATGGGTTCAAGCTGTCATCATTGCAAAGGATGTCACGTGACACTGTGGCAATGCAATTCCCATAAAGAATCTTGGGTGATATTTAGTGCCTTTTAAATAGCCCGAGACACAGACCTTGCTTCATAATCTTTTTACATAGACTACATAGCGACGTGTTCAGATCAGTCGCCTCATGTGCACAACACAAATTTCAGCCGCCTATTTGATTGATGAAGATAAAGCCACCCAAGAGATGGCACGGGCATGAATAGCCCGTAAGGTCGCCCATTTGCTTCACTAGTTCATATATAGCCTTACTCCTCAGTCTTCAACATCCACGGGAGACATCTCCCGTCACGCAGGGTGCAGTCGCACCTCCACTGATCTCCAGTATCAGCTCTTGATACTGGTAATGGCTTAAAATGGCCACCACTTACGGGCTATTCATGCCCGTGCCACCTTTTGGGTGGCTTAATCTTCATCAATCAATCAATCTTCAACATCTCCATCACTTGGACTGGACGGTAGAGCGACGACCTCGCTTAATGCAGGTCAGCGGCATTCAATCCCGGACCGTCCAAGTGGTTGGGTACCATTCCTAAACCCCGTCCCATCCCAAATCCTTATCCTAACCCCTTTTAGGAGCTATATATAGTCGTAATGGTTTGGCACTTTCCCCCTGATAATTCCCCCTTCCCTCCATTTCTCCGTTAAAGTCAGGTTCCATTAATACTCTCATAATATACCAATATTATTACTGAGACTAGCCCAATCGTTCTGTACATTCAGACAATACAATTGAATTACAAACTAAGTCATTTCCTACTCAACACAATGAAATTGAAATAAGTTTATTGAGGTAAAATACACACAAAGGGATGAGGTAGCTCAAGCTATTCTCACCCCGTTCTGTACATCGTGTTAATACATACATATACACACATCACAAACAATAAACATATGTGTACATGTGTCAACACAGTGTTACCTTGGCTGTGGAAAATGTATGAAATATTAACGAAAACATGAATGGCTGAGTATAACGTATAGATGAAGTGGCTAACAGCCAGGGGGGCCAGATTCACGAAGCAGTTACGCAAGCACTTACGAACGTGTACATCTTTCCTCAATCTTTGACGGCTTCGGTTACATTTATTAAACAGTTTACAAGCATGAAAACTTGCCAGTCAACTGTTGTTATTGTTATAAACAGCCTCCTGGTGCTTCGGAGCTCAATAACTGTTTAATAATTGTAAACACAGCCGCCAAAGATTGAGAAAAGATGGGCAGGTTCGTAAGTGCTTGCGTAACTGCTTCGTGAGTCTGGCCCCAGGTTCGTAAGTGCTTTCGTAACTGCTTCGTGAATCTGGCCTCTTGTGAATGACTGGAAACACCTAGCAAAAGCAGTTTTAATTCCAAGTAATATTTCTTGATTTTACAAATTGCAGCACCAGTAAATATTTGTATCTTCCATAAATCTAATGATGATATTTTAGGCAGACGAGGAGTCACAATAACGTGGCTGAAGTATGTTGACCAGACCACACACTAGAAGGTGAAGGGACGACGACGCTTCGGTCCGTCCTGGACCATTCTCAAGTCGATTATGAATTGTCGTCTTGAGAATGGTCCAGGACGGACCGAAACGTCGTCGTCCCTTCACCTTCTAGTGTGTGGTCTGGTCAACATGATATTTTAGATTTTGTTCATCAATGTTATTGACGTATATAATTTTCAGAGACTTCTGCAGAAGTTCCCCAACAGGAAGAATCGAATGTGAATTTCTCTCTCTTCGGAGACCCGTCGTCGCCGAAGAGAAATGAAGGGTTCTTTAATTTCAACTTCGGAAGTGATGGTGAAAGTGCTCAAGAGTCGAGTAGTTCGGGCTTTTTCTCTTCACTCTTTGGCAGTCCCACAGCGGGTACAGACTCCCCACGTGGTGGAGCAGGCTTTAAACTCTTCTAAGATAGTGACAAATGTCTGCTTGATATCAATGTATTTCTCCAAAGTCGCATTTAAGTCTCTCAAGGATAATATATATAGTGCGGAGTATTTATGTTACAGATTTACAGCACATTACATACATATTATTTCGGGAGTTTTGATGATGTTCTGTATGGTAATAGGTGTTCAGATGGCATTACTGGTGGTAGGTTGACAGGTTTCGTGTTTACATTGATGCGATTATTGTTAATACAATACAATACAATTTTATTTAGGTAAGGTACATACATACAATAAATATTTACAAGGATTGTTTGACTTAAGGCCATTACCAGTATTGTAGAAATTGGAGGTGATCTTATAATATTATCTGTGTCTTTTGAGTTTTACATATCTGTGTCAGTAATCTGCCTAGGGCACTTTTATTTCCATTATTGAGAAACTTTTCATTATGGCAAGCGATTATATTTACTCAGTAAATAGCAGGATTCGTGACTTAATTGGTTTAGTGTTATAAAATGCAGGAACAAAGTTGACCAGACCACACACTAGAAGGTGAAGGGACGACGACGTTTCGGTCCGTCCTGGACCATTCTCAAGTCGATCAAGTCGACCAATGATTCTCAAGTCGACCAATCGACTTGAGAATGGTCCAGGACGGACCGAAACGTCGTCGTCCCTTCACCTTCTAGTGTGTGGTCTGGTCAACTTACTTTAGCCTCGTTATTGTGACTCATCGCCTGCATATGCAGGAACAAATTTGAAAGGATGTATTATGAATGTTTTAATAAATGACACTAATATAGCTTAAATACATTTTCTGTTTTCGTAGGTTCAAATCTTAAGGCTAGGATATAAAGTGAGTTATGTAATATATATATATATAAAAGAGGAAAATTGCTGTCGTATAATTAATTCCTTCAAATAATGAAATCTGATTTCTTTTACAGTATTAGAAACTATTCTTAAAAATATTTCTGCTTTATTTCTTGAATCATCAAATTTTTCAGTATGTTGCTAACACTTCTTAATTCTTGTATATTGATAATCTTTATCAATCAACCCAACTCCCGGGTACCTATTTACTGCTAGGTGAACAGGTGCATCGAGTGAAAGGGTGAAAGAAAAAAATCTGGCCGAAACGCTGCGCGTACTAGTGGCTTTACAAGATTGTAATTACTATACTATGTATCTTCACAATCCCAATGTACCTTCTTGTATATATATATATATATATATATATATATATATATATATATATATATATATGTCGTACCTAGTAGCCAGTACGCACTTCTCAGCCTACTATGCAAGGCCTGATTTGCCTAATAAGCCAAGTTTTCATGAATTAATTGTTTTTCGACTACCTAACCTACCTAACCTAACCTAACCTAACTTTTTCGACTACCTAACCTAACCTAACCTATAAAGATAGGTTAGGTTAGGTTAGGTAGGGTTGGTTAGGTTCGGTCATATATCTACGTTAATTTTAACTCCAATAAATTTTTTTTTACCTCATACATAATGAAATGGGTAGCTTTATCCTTTCATAAGAAAAAAAATAGAGAAACTATATTAATTCAGGAAAACTTGGCTTATTAGGCAAATCGGGCCTTGCATAGTAGGCCGAGAAGTGCATTCTGGCTACTAGGTACAACATATATATATATATATATATATATATATATATATATATATATATATATATATATATATATATATATATATATATATATATAAATAAATAAATAAATAAACGTTGGCCAAACACTTAAAAGTGTCCCATTGAGGTTATTGAACCTGTAACTGTGACCTGTGTTACAAATTTGCTAACGTCTTTAGGGTGACATTTTAAGGGTCACTGTCGGGAAACCGACACACACACACACACACACACACATATAACACAGTCTCCCTTCAGGATGGAAAATGGGAGACTCCGTGATGTCATCGATATTTACATTATGAAACATTGTTAATAGACTAGTTTAGTATCTAGAGTTAACAAAAAAGTATTCAATAAGACTGAATATAAATATTTACACAGTATTGTAGCTAATTATTGCGTATATGTTTTACAGAATGTCTTAAATATAGGCGGAACAACCACAAACTGGTCAGTGGTAGTGGAGACTCGGAATTGCTGATTGAGACACGGTGGCGAACGTGCCACATCAAATTGTTTGGATGTGTGATAATGGTATGATAGAATACGCAGGAGCTACAAGCACTTTGACCCAAGAGTGTAACACTTAAATGCTTTGTTTACTATATTAACCTGTAATGTTAAATGTGATTCTTGTACTGTGGTTTGTGCGTCCCTTGAGGCACTTGAAGCAGAGAAGGGTAGAAATAGCCTAAGCTACTCTATTCCTTTCAGATTTATTTTATTGTCTTGATAAACGTACTTGAACGTAACCGAGGCTAGGTCGGCCTGGGCTCCCAGGAGAGGGGCAGTTTGTTTCCGCCTTTCAAGGAGCCTGGGGTAGCGGCTCGTTATTAGAAGACTTGTGTCTGGAAATCGCATCGAGTTACAGCCCCGCTCCTGTGCCAGGTAAGTCCACTACGGGCTCACCATAGCCCGTGCTACTTGCCCCGCTCCTATGCCAGGTAAGTCCACTACGGGCTCACCATAGCCCGTGCTACTTGCCCCGCTCCTGTGCCAGGTAAGTCCACTACGGGCTCACCATAGTCCGTGCTACTTGCCCCGCTCCTGTGCCAGGTAAGTCCACTACGGGCTCACCATAGCCCGTGCTACTTGCCCCGCTCCTGTGCCAGGTAAGTCCACTACGGGCTCACCATAGCCCGTGCTACTTGCCCCGCTCCTGTGCCAGGTAAGTCCACTACGGGCTCACCATAGCCCGTGCTACTTGCCCCGCTCCTGTGCCAGGCAAGTCCACTACGGGCTCACCATAGCCCGTGCTACTTGCCCCGCTCCTATGCCAGGTAAGTCCACTACGGGCTCACCATAGCCCGTGCTACTTGCCCCGCTCCTATGCCAGGTAAGTCCACTACGGGCTCACCATATCCCGTGCTACTTGCCCCGCTCCTATGCCAGGTAAGTCCACTACGGGCTCACCATAGCCCGTGCTACTTGCCCCGCTCCTATGCCAGGTAAGTCCGCTACGGGCTCACCATAGCCCGTGCTACTTGCCCCGCTCCTGTGCCAGGTAAGTCCACTACGGGCTCACCATAGCCCGTGCTACTTGCCCCGCTCCTGTGCCAGGTAAGTCCACTACGGGCTCACCATAGCCCGTGCTACCTGCCCCGCTCCTATGCCAGGTAAGTCCACTACGGGCTCACCATAGCCCGTGCTACTTGGAACTTTTTGCTCCAAGTAGCTGAATCTATAACAACAACAAACAACTGGAAATCTGCTCACAATTAGGGGACCTGTTGATTCGTTCAGCTGAGACATGGTGGTCTCTGCCCTACCGATAGGTATTATTGTTCAGTTGTGGCAGACCCTCTCAGTGCTGTCGTGGCCCATTGGTGGAAACCTAGCTCTTGCTCTTCCTAATCTTTATCAGATATAATAACAGTAAATGATAACGATTCTATGCATTTACTATGCACCCCCACACCCATCTCTCGTGGGCGGTAGTGGACCACATACCTATCCTGTGTGTGCAGGCGATGAGTCACAATAACGTGGCTGAAGTATGATGACCAGACCACACACTAGAAATTGAAGAGACGACGACGTTTCAATCGACTTGAGAATGGCCCAGGACGGACCGAAACGTCGTCGTCTCTTCAATTTCTAGTGTGTGGTCTGGTCATTATCCTGTGTGTGTAATTACCTAAGCGTAATTACAGGATGAGAGCTACGCTCGTGGTGTCCCTTCTCCCCAGTATTCTTGTCATATAAAGCTTTAAAATTACTGATGGTTTTGGCCTCCACCACATTCTCACCTAACTTGTTCCAACAAGTGTGTGTGTAGGGGGGGGGAGTAGTGGACCACATATACCTATCCTGTGGGGGGGTAATGGACAGGGTTAGATATAATGGGCCCAAGAACCCCCCAAAATTCCTTTAGCTAAGCATTTAAGAGTCTTGATAGGCTAGTTACACATTAATGTATGGATCAATAATATTTTATAATAAAAGTGCTTCAAGAACTGGACCTCAATTAACAGTCTCCAAGTCTGGAAATTTACATCTGTGGCGGATATATTTACTAATCATGCATATGATAATGGCAGCAAAAATAGTGATGGTGAGTATAAATGTTTTTCTAAACCCTGTCCTGTAAATGCTTTTTTGTCCCCGTTTACCCCGTCTAAAATATTATCCTGATATCGTGTATATATAGACGTAATTTCTGAACTAAGAGTCCTTAAGCAACACATCTTTGTTGCATCTGAGAGTTTGTGTAAATGTCCTTGACGGAAGTGACTTGAACAAGAGAGGTGGGTATGGCGGGAGCTGTGTACCCTCCGGCAGGTGTTCTCATCTCCTTCTTCACCTGTTGAGCTCGCACGCTTCTCCCTCTCTCTCTTCTCATGATCTATTACTTTAGCGAATTGACTAGAATGGTGTGATGAATACGAGCAATGGAGTGATTTGGATGATTAGAGGCGACAGATTATACGATGCCTTTGGCTGGGTTCACACAGTTGTAAGATTGGCTCAATGCGCTTCCTGCGCATGCGCGATTGAGATGAATCTTACAACTTTGATATATTTATTTTACCCTTGCACCCTATCAACCTCCGAACAAAAATGGATCATCCTGCATGATTGCACTGCAGGGATGATAATGAACCTGTGTGTATTACACAGCCGCAGGCAACACTATGTAACAATAGCGCTAAAGAAGGGATTAAAGCGACACCTGGCAACTACCACCAGGCTGCCACACAGCCGACTGTAAACAAAAAAACTCACCAGTCAGCTGTTAGAGTCGGTGAGAGGAGGACGTACTGCGGCGGCGCTCCTACCCATCTTACTCGTTCTACCTTACACATTAACAATTAGCGCAATTCCTCTAATATCCATGAATGTGTATGACTGACTTTTGATAAAACGTGTAGTGTTAAGTGTTAAAAATCATTCGTCGCATAGTTGAGTGTAAAAATACATTGTTAAATACGTAATTAGTGTGATATTTGCTTTTATAGAAATGGCGAGTAATTTACAAGCAGTGTAAATACAAGGGCTGATAGGCAGCGTGTCTCTCACACACTGAACATGCCTCTCGTGAGAACCGTGGAGGAGTGAACAGTGGTGAACACTATTGAACACCGGTTTGCGTCTCTCAGGCAGCCGGTTAAGACGGATAAACGGTACAGGATGCGGATAGACGGAGAGAACGGTACACTTCTCTCTCCTGGCTCCTCCGCAGCTTCCAACTCTTCTGCAGGTACGTCAGGATGCTCTCTGCTGTACCCTGCTGGAGTTGGGGCTCAATGTTCTCCTGTACCGTGCTGTAGTTTGGGTGAAAGGCTCTTCTGTACCTTGCTGTACCCTGCTGGAGTTGGGGTGAAGGGCTCTCCTGTACCTTGCTGTACCCAGCTGTAGTTTGTGTGAAAGGCTCTTCTGTACCTTGCTGTACCTATATGCAGTTTGGTGAAGGGCTTTCCTGTACCTAGCTGTATCCATATGTATTTTGTATGAAAGGAAAGAGGGCCCCCTACTGTACCTTGAGTATAAGGTAGTATGGTGTACCTTATTAATGTAACTGTAATTGCAAGCTGTACCCTATTATACAATTAGTGAAGACTGCTGTAACCTATAATACTTTGAGGGAAGGGTGGAATGGTTAATCTTGTATGAGGGAAAGGGAGAATGATGTTCCTATAATGAGTGGAGGGTGGCCTGATGTTCCTATAATGAGTGGCAGGTGGCCTGATGTTCCTATAATGAGTGGAGGGTGGCCTGATGTTCCTATAATGAGTGGAGGGTGGCCTGATGTTCCTATAATGAGTGGCAGGTGGCCTGATGTTCCTATAATGAGTGGCAGGTGGCCTGATGTTCCTATAATGAGTGGAGGGTAGCCTGATGTTCCTATAATGAGTGGAAGGTGGCCTGATGTTCCTATAATGAGTGGAGGGTGGCCTGATGTTCCTATAATGAGTGGAGGGTGGCCTGATGTTCCTATAATGAGTGGAGGGTAGCCTGATGTTCCTATAATGAGTGGAGGGTGGCCTGATGTTCCTATAATGAGTGGAGGGTGGCCTGATGTTCCTATAATGAGTGGAAGGTGGCCTGATGTTCCTATAATGAGTGGAGGGTGGCCTGATGTTCCTATAATGAGTGGAGGGTGGCCTGATGTTCCTATAATGAGTGGAGGGTGGCCTGATGTTCCTATAATGAGTGGAGGGTAGCCTGATGTTCCTATAATGAGTGGAGGGTGGCCTGATGTTCCTATAATGAGTGGCAGGTGGCCTGATGTTCCTATAATGAGTGGAGGGTGGCCTGATGTTCCTATAATGAGTGGAGGGTAGCCTGATGTTCCTATAATGAGTGGAAGGTGGCCGGATGTTCCTATAATGAGTGGAAGGTGGCCGGATGTTCCTATAATGAGTAAAGGGGGGGAGTGTCTTTCAATGTGTCCTTTTGTACCTCCAAAGGTACCAGAGGAGACATTAAAGGGCATATGTGTCCTCTTATACCTCCAGAGGTACAAGAGGATACATGTGTCCTACTTTATAAACCCCACAATAAAAGGTTTGGCAAGATTTTTAACCTGTAGCTTTGACTACAGTGGCTACAAATTTAACATGATAGTAGTACAGCATTTCAGAAGTTTTGGAAAGTATTTCAGAAGTGCAGCGTGACCAAAGTGGATGTAAATAGTGATTTGAAGATATTTACCAAAGACAGAAGCCTAAAGTTTGGCTTGAGATTATAAGTTAACAAGAAGTGTAGCTTTAGACCGTTACTCACTCACTTTCCTGGCAAGTTTCAAGCGCAGGTCGGACAAATAGGTTACAAGAGCGAGAGTGGGCTAGAGTTATAAATAGCCTCGCGTGAGGAACTCAATTCGTTTATTCTTGCGTTCTAAAAAACATTGAAGAGTTTGGCAACATTGTCGCTAAGACGATAACTAAACAAACTTAGCAATACTTACACGAAGAAAAGAAACATTGATCTCTTTCCATTCAAATGTTGAAGGGTATGTTTATCTATTACTGGTGGCGGCCTTTTATTTTAGTAACAAACTTAGGTATATACATGATCACCACATTCAAGATTCTCAAGGGAATCGACAGGGGTAGATAAAGACAGGCTATTTAACACAAGGGGCACACGCACTAGGGGACACAGGTGGAAACTGAGCGCCCAAATGAGCCACAGAGATGTTAGAAAGAACTTTTTTAGTGTCAGAGTGGTTGACAAATGGAATGCATTAGGCAGTGATGTGGTGGAGGCTGACTCCATACACAGTTTCAAGTGTAGATATGATAGAGCCCAGTAGGCTCAGGAACCTGTACACCTGTTGATTGACAGTTGAGAGACGGGACCAAAGAGCCCCCCGCAAGCACAATTAGGTGAGTACAACAATGTGCGGCTGCCGTATCCAATCAGAAACTAGCTATAAGTTTATCTAATATTACTATCAGGGTGGAACTTGAAACAAGAGGCTAAGCTATTAGCCTGCACTAGAAAAATCAGGGTAGAACCTAAGAAAGCATCCGATAAGCACCTCTAAAGGATATCTGATTAAGCAGGCTGTGATTCATACATCAGGCTAAGGCAGAGGCAGTCTGATTGACCAGGGGCCAGATTCACGAAGCAGTTACGCAAGCACTTACGAACCCGTACATCTTTTCTCAATCTTTAGCGGCTGTGTTTACAATTATTAAACAGTTAATGAGCTCCGAAGCACCAGGAGGCTGTTTATAACAATAACAACAGTTGATTGGCAAGTTTTCATGCTTGTAAACTGTTCAATAAATGTAACCAAAGCCGCCAAAGATTGAGGAAAGATGTACACGTTCGTAAGTACTTGCGTAACTGTTTCGTGAATCTGGCCCTCAGACCACCAACCAAGAGGCCTGGTCAGAGACCGGGCCGCGGGGACGTTGATCCTCGGAATCACCGCATGATAACCGCAAGGTTCGGAGGATATCAGAAACGCAATCTGAGTAAAGCCTTGTATAACTGTAGTTGAATGTTCGTTCCAAGAGGACCGAATCTTCTCAGTATTCCCGGATGTGACGGGTAGAGACAGATTGATTGATGAAGATTAAGTCACCCCAAAAGGTGGCACGGGCATGAATAGCCCGTAAGTGGTGTGGCCCTTTTGAGTCATAACCAGTATCAAGAGCTGATACTGGAGATCTGTGGAGGTGCGACTGCACCCTGCGTGACGGGAGATATGTCTCCTGTGGGGTAGATACAATACCAAGGAGGTATATATATATATATATGGCGTCTACCAGAACTTCCGGTGGTAGACAGGTGGGATGGGAATCGAGGCAGGATATTGGGGGGAGTGTGTGTGTGTGTGTGGGAGGGGGGCAGGTTTCAGAGGTTAAAGGTGTAAGGGGGAGGAGAGAGGTGCGGCCAGGGGGCCAGAGTTGCTAAGGGCGATTTTGGAGAACGCTTTGAGAGGTAACGGGAAAGAGAAGCCCATCAAGGAAGGGTAAAAGGAAAGGGACCCCTTCAAGCAGGGGTAAAGGGAAGGGAGGGGGGAACCCCTTAGAGAAGGGGTGGGTGAGTGGAGGGTGAGAGTAGAGACCGCGGCAGGAAGTGGGAGTATTAGCCTAACATAAAACTACACTCAAATCCTCTGGTGCTGTTGAGGTCGGGAGTAAGGGGTAGGGGGGGGGGATAATCCTATGGGGTAGGATATAATGGGGGTTTGGGGAAGGGGCGGATGGGTAGGGATAGCCTCCAATGAAATTCTCACTGATTTCAGAGGTAGGGAAGCGTCCTGCACAGAACTAATAACTTGATGAACACCACACACAAATCAACCAACCCATCTCAGTCTCTTTGTCAGTTTAGTAGTCTCCGTGGTGTAGTGGTAAGACACTCGCCTGGCGTCCTGCGAGCGCTATGTCATGGGTTCGTATCCTGGCCGGGGAGGATTTACTGGGCGCCAATCCTTAACAGATACTTAACCCACAACAGATCAGATTTAAGAACACACAACAGATTAACAGACGAGCCCAAAAGATTGCAAAGGGAACTTCAGGATGAACGGCAAGATTTATGCAAGACAGAATACACCCCAAAATGGGATGATATAATAATAATAATATGCAAAATCAAGAGATCACAAAGCCCAGGAAAGTTCTGGAAGAAACATAGGAGTCTCAACCGAAGAAGCACTACATCATAGAAGCCTCAGGAATTAAGTCATAGGAAGACAGAACTTGGGCACAAGAATTCAGGAAGTATTGGGAAAATGCACTCAGAACAAACCCTTAAGAAAGCGTCAACTTTTGTTCCAAGACGGAAACAGCCATGATAAATCTTGTGGAGAACAGAGCTGCAACTTTATTCCCATCGCAAGTAATAGACCTTAAGTAATAGACCTAATAGACCTTAGGCCTGGTGGACCAAACTCTCACAAGTCGAGCCTGGCCTCGGGCCGGGCTTGGGGAGTAGAACAACTCCCAGAACCCCATCAACCAGGTATCAACCAGGCATACGCAATGAGTGCCATCTTATGAACCACATAACCACTGAAGAGCTCCAAAAAACAGTTTAAGAACAAGATGCTAGGCATTTGTAAAATAAACAAACTGATATTCGCAATCCTTCCAGTTTTTTTTTTTTTTTTTATTATTATTTTCTACCACAGACGTGGCCACACATTTACAATGCTAACCAGAATATATACATTTTCTTCTGTCCTCCATGGACAGGGTTAGAGAAATGTTAAACATAGAGTTCAGGGGTTTATTGAACACTCAACCACAGAAGGTGATTCGGTGCTTTTTAAATGCTAAGCTAACCTACATACGTAAATACATAGATACACAGACTTCCAGTAACAGGAAATGTAGATGTTTATCTCTCAGAATGTTCGGTAATATGTTTATTGTTTGTGATGTGTGTCTATGTATGTATTAACACGATGTACTGAACGGGGTGAGAATAGCTTGAGCTACCTCATCCCTTTGTGTGTATTTTACCTCAATAAACTGATTTCAATTTCAATTTCCAGTAACGGCAATTTACACGGACATGAAATTTAGCTTTTGCATCTGAACTATACCAAAAAACTTAGAAAATACCACAATCAAATTACTTCTTAAGCCTGGTAAATCACCAACAAAGAGAATTACAAGCCAGTTTCCTTGCTCGAGATTCGAAAGAATAATCAACTGCAGAATGGAAGTGGAACTAAAAATATAGATATCAGGCAACATGGGTTCAGAAACCCCAAAGGGTTCCATACAGCTA